ACAGTGGCCTCTATTTAGCAGGCCTCAAATGATGGTGACACTCGAAAACTGCCAATGTTAGTGGTAAGCCCTCAGCATTTAGTGACTGTTCGCGAGGTGAATGGTGGCTTTATTGCTGACAACTCAGCCAAGGCCGACCGCTGGCGTGATCACTTCGAACACCTCATATTTTATGAAATGGAGTGCGGTGGAGATCGAGGATATGGTGCAAAAACTACCACGACATAAGCTTCCTCGACGTTGCTGCAAAGTTCTTCAATCTTGTCCACCGGACCACAGCCGTTGTTACCGCGGGAGCTGTGAAGCGATCCCAGTAGTTGATATTATAAGGGCTACACATCTTCGGAACGATGCGACCTTAAGAGACTTGCATTGCAACACCACATGCTCATCATGACTGTCATTATAATTTAACGCGTTTCACTTAACGTAGACACCCTTAGGTCATACCAGACGTTGAGGCCAATTCAATAATCTTTTTGCCTCGACAGTCAACAAAAACAGAGTTTTATTGATAGCACAAATTATGGACACGATGCCTAGCTATATGGGTTATTTTACCCAGCTTCTGAACATGGCAGTTTCGGACCCTTCAATTACCGTCATCTTTGAAGGCCCATTTGCTATCCGACTTTAGCCCGGAATCTGTCGACGGAATAACTGCAGAGGTGAAACAAAATTCCCGGGCAGGACTGCATTCCGGTAGACATATGCCGGTACTGTCCGATAATCATTACCAACCGGTCAGGTAACGAATCAAAAATTAGAAAAACAAAAAGTATCCGCAAGCGAGACTGTTCTTGTCTTCATGTCGATCTTTCATAAAGACTATCACTCAACATGCAAAAGTACCATGACGTAAGCCTTCTTAGTATTGTTGCCGTAATCATTACAGGGATTTCAATCGATTCTGATTGTTCTGTGACAAGCTGACGAAAAACTGTTTGACTTTCATCTGGACTGAGAATTATGGTAAAAATTTCCAAATGCGGTGGACTTTCGAACACAATCACTACTAGAAACGGCTCGTCCTAGTGGACCTTGCTTCTGGTTTGTACACTGTCCATCAGAGTTTTCTGTATTCAATCATGGTGGATAGCGGCGTACCACCGAAATTACGTCTCTGATTCAAAGTCCGTCACGTAAATCGCAAAGAGTGCCTTGCTTTCACTTGCGTCTGCCAGAGCTACGTTATTCGACTGGTTGTGTTTATCTTCATTGGGGAGTGACGCCTTTAGCTCACACTTTTGGACCACTTCGATGTTAAAGTCGGTCGTTGTCTATGATCTACGGGTCTAAACTATGTCAATATTGCGGAGATTCTGGAGAGATTTTATGTTGCAGTGAGCGAAAACAGCCGAAATGGGGCTTAAATCCTCTCTAGGTGAAGATTGCATGTTCGAGTATCGCTGTTGGAACTATCCGCCAGTTATGACTGAATAAAGTGACGTGTTGGAGTAGTTTATACGAAATTGGGTTGAAAATTTTACTAAGCGGGTAATTTAGATGCATATGACCATTGTCATACCTTTTGGAACACTTGAAAGTCAGAATAACCAACTACAAACATATGACGCTTCTGTTGGCAACTCTACACGGTTGTCATATTTGGTGGATGCGTCGTGAGGAGATAAATCGCCTGAATTCGCAGTAGCAAGGACTCTGTTCTCCGAATTGTCCGCCCGATGAACAACTACGTAGCTGCTCAAGAGCGTGACCCGTCAGCTATGCATTTCTTACTCATCAAATAAAGTAGTCGTGAATTTCCTAAATGATACATATGAGTGACTTGAAAATGCATAGCGAGAATGAGATTCTAAGCGTTGACTTCTTTGTGTTGCTACGCAACTGGTGCCACTTTTATTTGTTGTTGATATCAGCTCCGTCATATGCTAATCTCCCGCATCGGCCGTAATGGGCATGCGTCTAAATAATAACCCGTATAAGCGCTCTAATAAAATAACAATGTTTTTTGAAGACGAATAACTACGTTGAGTTCAAATACAATACTGTAAGATAAAGCGAAGCGAGCAATTCCATTGTGGAATGCAAATCAGAAGATAGGGTGGGAAATTCGTTGGAATCAATGTGGTATAGGCCGGTACCACAGACGAGTTTTAGTTAGTAAACACATGAACCAAAGACCACAGGTCAGCTTTTGCACTGGTCTGCAGAATAATTAAGTGGGCAGTTTCGGAAAAAATGAGAATCTAGGCATAAATAAACAAAATTCAAAATACATAAGGAAAGAAAAGAGCCAGAATGAAAGAAGAACTCAGCTTTGGTTTAAAACTTTTATTGCCATCCCATATCAATTCATTATATCTGCAAATAGCCGATCCCAGGTCCAAACCTCGTCTTCCTAAAAGTAGATATTTACTTCAACATTTGTAATCACTCACGTCTTTGGTCTCTTCTTCTGGATCCAAGAAGTTAGCAAGTAGTCTTAGGTCAATTTTACCATCCTTAAGGTGTTTATGTGATAAATATTTCATTTACAAGGAATGCAAGGGAGCTGCATTTGGTCGACTCCTCGTCTAGCTTCCAGTATGTAGGCAGACGCGTCGCAAGTTGACTAAAACGGAAGACAATTCGTAAAAAGAGCATGAAGGCGGCTAATCGGCGGCGATCAAAAAGTTACACTGGAAAATCTTTAAGCAGTCATTTTAGGTCGTCCACTTAGTTGACTATTCTGCACAAACACTGAAAAACAATATATGAAGAAATCAACTACATAAAGACTTACAGTTTTAATTGTATACAACTAAATGGTGACCTGTCACCTCCAGATGATTTGGCGTGACCAGAAAAGCCCACCTAACAAGGGTAAAAGTTGCATATATTTTGTGCTCTATTCTACCTTTCATCTCTTACACCAGTTTAGATGGCTTAGCAACGGTAACGCTTACTTTAAAATCTAAAAAACACTTATGGGCCATACTTCGTCATAGGCGTACGCATTTACTACAGGCCACGACTTTGGCGAATACAAAAACAACGTGAAATTACAAGGAATTTGAGATAGAAATCTGCCAAGTTAATAATATTAGCGGAACATGGACACTTTAGGAGCTGGATTTTACTTGAAGGAATGCACAACCTAAGATAACGGTGGAATTTTGATGTATGTTTGTGTTGACCGCATTATA